GGGAGTGAATACACTGATTTATTACATGTTATTGATAATTTTTACAATGGTTGGGACTGGGCTGTTCTTATAGCGATCAGTTCGTGCACGTATGGGCTGGATGCGGTTGTGGTGTCGAACAGCAATTCTCGGACAGGGGATCTCAGGTGGTAGTAGGGGCCGGTGTCGGGGATGGTGTAGAAGCTTTTTACCAAATTTGCAGATGAGGCCGTGGTGATGGTCAGTGAGAGTCGAAAGGGTCAGTGTGTTGAGCGCTTCTTGATATGTGGAGTAGGAAGGGGAGAGAATAATCTTGCATGCCCTCTTTTGCACTTTTTCTAGGTGTTTACATTGTGTGGCATTTAGGGAGGAAGACCAGGTAGGGGAGGCATAGGTGAGCTTGGGAAGTATGAATGTTGTGTAAACACTGAGGAGCTCGGGTGCAGGAACTCCGAAGGACTTGAGTCAGCGGAGGAGGTGGAGACGGAACTGGAGGATTTGATAACTTCACTGACGTGTGGTTTCCAATTTAGTTTGTTGTCTATGGTGACGCCGAGGAGCTTCGTGGAATCTACAACCTGGAGTGTGTTCGGACCTAGGGTAATGGAAGGAGGTGGGACAATGTCGGAGGAGAGGTTGATGTGCATAACCATTGTCTTGGTATGGTTGATGGTGACATGGTTGTTGGTGGCCCAGTTTTGGAGACTGTTCAATAAATCCTGAAGGGCGGTATAGTTGGGAGCGGAATTGTTGACGCTGATCCCAATGGTGGAGCCGTCGACATATTTCCAGCGAGCAGGGGTTTATAGCCGCCCGCCACTCAGCCTCCAGGAGACGTCTTAGCCACTCCATCTCTTTTATTCTGGTGATCTTTGTATATTAATTCCTCGAATGTTAAATATTTCAGCTGTTTTACCTTTTGTATTTTATTTATTTATTTTTTTTTGTTTTTTATTCACTTTATGAATATTGATACGGCGAAATATTTCTGGTAGAGGGTGATAAAGTCAGTAGGGGTGTGTGTGTGTGTGTGTGTATAAGGTGTGTGTGTGTGTGTGTGTGTATATGTGTGTGTGTGTGTGTGTGTGTGTGTATGTGTGTGTGTGTAGAGTGTGTGTGTGTGTGTCTGTGGTATGAGTCGCGTGTGAGGTAAATATCTTTGTTACTTTAGTATGTTCCAGAAAACTGCACAGTTCTGCGTATTATATCAATTTGCTCTCTCTCTGTAATGGTTTGTCTGTTTGTCTGTCTGTCTGTCTTAGGGACCTTGGAGTATATCAGGTTCTTGTCGTGTTTGGATTCTCAGCCCAGACCCGACGGAGGAAGACTCGTGTGTCACTGACCATTGAAATTAAATCCTGCCACACTTTTTTGTGGCTATTGTTGTTGTATTTGTTGTTGTTGTTGTTTCTGCTGTTGCTGTTGCTGTTGTTGTTGTTGTTGTTGATGTCTTCCCTTGTTTTAGCTGTTGTTTTTATATATTGTTTTCCTCTCTTAGGTGCTCATGGTATGTAGACATAATACCAGCTTCTGTGTATATGTACGTGTGTGTGTTTTTGTGTGCATTTATTTAGGTTTATGTATACTTGTAACTGCTTTATGTGCGTCTTTATCTGGAATGTGTGTGTGTGTGTGTGTGTGTGTGTGTGTGTGTCACCACTTATCACACACGTCATCTCGGACCAAATTTTTTTTACAGGTGAAAGTTTCCTGGATAAGTAGGGGTTGAATTTTGGATTAGAGAGAGAGAGAGAGAGAGAGAGAGAGAGAGAGAGAGAGAGAGAGAGAGAGAGAGAGAGAGAGAGGTCGTATTTCCAACGTTGCTTCAGATGATAAGCCGTTATGGGTTTATGTCGCCTCGCCACCAGCCTCCAGGAGACGTCTTAGCCACTCCATCTCTTTATTCTGGTGATTCTTTGTATAATATTAATTCCTCGAATGTTAAATATTTCAGCTGTTTTACCTTTGTATTTTATTTATTTATTTATTTTTTGTTTTTTATTCACTTTAAGGAATATTGATACGGCGAAATATTTCTGGTAGAGGGTGATAAAGTCAGGGGGTAGAGGAAGGAAAAAAATAGGTTTGGTTATTTTAATTCCGCTAGCAGTTCTATACTTGACTCTGAGACTAACTCACTTACTGACGGAGAAATACTCTTGTCACTAACTCACTGACTGTCACAGACTGCTTAATTCACTTACTTTGACCTTAGAATAAATTGATCAAAATATCCTGAATGATTCCTTCACTGGCGGAGAGAAACAAGTTCTACAGTGGCACAACACACAGGTAACTGGCACTTGTGTCTCTGTGACCTTGGAAGAATATTGATGCTCCAGACAGGACAAGAATCACTTCAGCATCCACAAGGGAGAGCACCAGAGTCCACAACACATGGTCGCTGTTTCGTAATACTCGACTGAACAAAACCAACAGCATTTTGGTCATCACAGTGGAGGAGGTACAGATAAAAACATGGAGGCTTCAATAGACTTTTTTTAACCTTCCCCACCGAGCTGTAAACTGATTACTGCCTCATCAATCAAGCACAACCCGGCGTGCTTGACAAACTCTCCATCACCTTCTCAAACACCGCGGGAAGGAGATGACGAAAAAAAAAAAAAGTCCTATTGCATATCACATTTCCCGCGGGGGATCTCCTCGTCAGCTGCCGTAAGCCTCCTTAACAAGGCTGAAAATACCCTCACGCTGTAAGCAAGTTGTGTCCTTATGAGGGTACTACATAGTGCCTAGTGTGGTGTGTTCCAGACGACGCTACACCCCCATGTTGGCCAGGAGCAACGTCGAGCGTCTTCTGCCAGCTGATGATCACGTGTGGGTGTTGTTGTTTAGTCCCCAACACGCTCAGACTTGTTGACTCTCACAGCCAATGAGAGTAAGCCGCTCAGGGAGGAAAGGTTTTGTGGGACTGTAATGGGTGTTTTGTCGGCTCCTAAGGGAATTTATTTACATGTCTTTGAAATAAATTTTGTGGAGCCCAAGAGCGAATTTTGTGGCATCTATCTATCTATCTATCTATCTATCTATCTATCTATCTCCACTCCTCTTCCATCTATCTTCGGGGCAGATCAGAGACAAGAGACTTCTCAAGATAAGGAGATACAGTGAGAGGAAAACCCTTGAAACACTTAGTACACAACACACAGTCACTCCCCCCGCCTCTCACCTTGTCTCAGCATTATACCTGAACTACACCTTTAATATACAACGCTTAGTATTAATTCATCGTATACACTGTGAGGCGTGAAGACCTTAGGGATTAGTTTAAGCTGACGGGAGGAGGGAGGAGGGAGGAGGGGCTTTAAGATGTGATTCTCTGATAGCCTGAGTGAGGGTGGTGGAGGCGTGTTGTCAAGGGAACTAGTGGTAATAGGCCAATTTTGAGAGTGGCCTATGTGAGAGTGGCCATTGTGAGAGTGGCCATTGGGAGAGTGGCCATTGTGAGAGTGGCCATTGGGAGAGTGGCCATTGTGAGTCTGGGCCATTACCTGTTACCGTGGCGTTATGTAAGGTGGTGTGAGGGCGTCGACTGTTCCCTGCCACCATGTCTTGCGATGTTTTCACCAATCTACAAGGTCAGAGGTTAAAGTCACAATCCCAGAAAAGAAAATGCACCAATTTGACTCAGGTTGGTACACCCGCCAACACTGCCAGTCGTCTTAAACTGTCGTACGGCATAAAGGAGAACTTTTCAGGGAGACTCAGATCAAAAATACAGTGTTCATTGGGCGAGTACAGGTGATAGCTTCCTGTATTATCTGGCTCTTGTAAATAGACATAGACTCTTCAATCCCTCTGTAGCCAATATACTCCCTTTAGCTTCCTGTGTGTATCCTCCCAAAGCCTCTCATTCCCCCAGGTAATTTACACTTCAAACATATTTCCTGCCCTGACGATGCTCTGTTTCACCTCCTTAAACTTCCTTTGTTGGGGGTGAGCACGCTAGAGGGGGGAGGTGGGGGGTAGGGTGAAAAGGGGGATGATATGTTGGCTTTAACTGTAGTCGTGAAAGTTTAATTTGATAATAGGGTAATGTATTTTTTTTTTTTTTTTTTATTTATTTGTTTATTGTTTGCAGGGTTTTTTCTTCTCTCATTTATTCATTTATTATATATTTTTATTCGTCTCTTATTTTTCTCTTTTTTAATTTTTCTTTTTTTTTTACTTTAGTTATTATTTATTTTATTTATTTATTTATTTATTTAAGAAAAAAAATAAACCAACCCCCAAAAAGAAAGCAAAACCTGATGATCTTTATTCTCTTTTGTGGATAAATCTTTCTCTCTCCTTTCAAAAATACCAAAAGAAAATGTTTTAAGATTTTGTTTTAAGGATTTTGTTCTTAGTTTACTGGAGTTTATTAAAGGAAAATTAATGCAAGAGAAAGGTAAAAGTGGCGAGAGAAAGAACGGGAAAATTAGAGAAATTAATATTGTGTTATTTTCAACTTGTTTCGGTTTGTAACTTAAGTGAGTTTCCGACTTTTTATCTAATTTTTTTTCAGTTTTTAAAAAGAAAGTTAATGAATAATAAAACTAAAAATATTCGAGAAAAAAAGACGTAGAAAGTTGAGATGGACTTTTTTACATCATGTGACCCAAAGAACCTTGACCTTTGACCTTAATATGTATATGAAGATGATCATACAGTAAACGCCACTTACGATGATCTTACCATTATCCGGGTTAGTAGTTATCACACACACACACACACACACACACACACACACACAGACAGAGCTGACTCCACCCCCCCTCCTAGACTCAACCAACGTGAATAATTAAATAGCAGGCGAGAAAGTTTATATATTTTGCTCTTAAAGTATTAAAGTTTAAAAAAGTTCAGCAATAAACTTTCAAATATTCAATGAAACACGACAAAATGCCGCTCGTGAATTCATTATATTTTACGTCTTCCAAAAATTATTATCAAAAAAGTGTGGATTATTATTATTTGTTTAAGTTATTGAAAGAGTAAAAGTAAAAATAAGGAAACACAAAACTACGAACAATGAGAGACACGGAACACTTCATCTGTGATTCTCTATCTGTGTTATCTGGTTCTGTTGTTTGATGATTCACAACTTGTTGACATAATTTTGTGTTTTACTTAATCAATTTACATTTATTTTCAGATCTTCACTTATGAGGAATATTCACGAGCTGATTCTTAATAAATCTGTAAATATGTAAATCCTGTTTGTGAATTTATTTTATATTTGTATAAATAAATAAATAAGTCAGCATACCAAATATAAATCTACATTATTCGTTAAAGAAATAAACTGTAAAAGCAACCATATTTTACAACTCATTTACGCAGCATCGTATACTAGTTAAGGCTAATATATTCACATTGGTAGAAAAACAAAAAAAAAACAATGATTTACTCTATTTTTTCTCAGTTATTTTCTTTATTGGTTTATTTATTTTTTTCACAAATGGGTTTATTTAATTATTTATGTAATCTGTTTATGTATATTTTTGTATTTCTATTTCCTTACAGATACAAATCTGAGACAGTCAACTCGACGCCGGCGGAGCTGAAGGCGCAGGACTTCCAGGTGAGAGATAATTAGTTCCCAGGTGAGAGATAGTTAGGCCCCAGGTGAGAGATAGTTAGGCCCCAGGTGAGAGATAGTTAGTCCCCAGGTGAGAGATGGTTAGTCCCCAGGTGAGAGATGGTTAGTCCCCAGGTGAGAGATAGTTAGGCCCCAGGTGAGAGATGGTTAGTCCCCAGGTGAGAGCAGGTGAGAGATAGTTAGGCCCCAGGTGAGAGATGGTTAGTCCCCAGGTGGAGATAGTTTGTTTTCAAGTGAGAGACAGATAGTTCCCAGGTGAGAGATAGATAGTTCCCAGGTGAGAGATAGATAGTTCCCAGGTGAGAGATAGATAGCTCCCAGGTGAGAAATAGATAGTTCCCAGATGAGAAATCATTAAGTATCTAGGTGATAGATAATTAATCTCCACGAGACAGATAAGAGATAATTATCTGCCAGGTCAGAGATCATTAAGGTCCAGGTGATATAATTATTTGTCAGGTAAGAGGGTTCGCTGTCAGGTGAGCTATAATGGGACTGAGATAGGCTATAATTAGCTCCTAAGTGAGACACCTGCTCACAGAAGGATCAGCTCACAGAGATACCAGCTCATTTTTTACTGTCACAAAGACGAAGTACTGTACCTCCACCCAGCCTCTCCATACTGTACACCCTCAGTAGTCATCTCCCAGACGGTGTTATGACGTGGTGGTGGTGGTGGTCGTATATAACCCATGGCTGGCGGCGGTGTGAGATGAAAATCCTTGTCGCAGGGGCGGTGGCGGCTTATTGATCTCTTCCCAGCTCAGCTTCACCACACTACCGCTTTCAAGTATATCGCTCCATTATTCTTGTTCCGTCCAATGCTACAGGTGTTGATGTTGATTGTCTCTTGTTTTCGTCTTTACAGTTGTTGATGAATACATGTCATCTAACATCTGAGTTGATCGTAAACTCTTCAGAAAATCACACAAATACTGAACACTATTTGTAGGTGCTAAGAGATGTCGGGTCTTGGGCACCTGAGACGCCCAGAAAGTTTCCAGAAAATCCATCTCGGTTTTTCGCACCTTCGTCGGCTACAGCTGTGGAAAACTTGGGTTCTTCTTTTACCCCGGCAGGTGTTGATCATCCTGCTCCTTAAAACTTCAGGTGGAGGAGATTGGTGTTGTGGATTACTGAGCCATCTTGTTGTATGAGGGAGATAAATATAAATAAACGCTTTTATGGGATATATTACGTTAGCTTAGCATAGCTTAGCAAGGCTTAGGTTAGGTTAGGTTAGCTTAGCTTAGGGTAGGATATGTTATGTTAGGTCAACATTAGGGTGTTTAATCATGAGGTAAAATAAGCTATAGCGGTTTTCTTAGTGTGATCACCTCACTGTTACGTAAACTTTTTACTGAGCAGTGGTGTTGTCGAATCCACCTCACTCCCCGTTACTTACCACTATTGGTCAGTCTACTGCCGTATTCCCCTACTCCCTCACCTCCTACCGCCCACTCACACACTCATCCATACACACCTACAGTACCTCTGGGAAATACCGCCAAAGAACCCCCGTTATCTTCTCCCCCCTCTAAAGGTTCTCAGAGTGATCACATATTCCTCGCTCTGATATATTCAACAGTACACTCCCAGCCCCACGCTCGCATTCCTCGTTATGGTGTTTAGACCGGGTCCGTATATCACCCCCCGCCCGCCCCCTTACCAGCAGACACCACCCAGCAACCTCCCCCTCACTATACCTCCATCCGGCAGAACCACTACGTCACCATACTCTACCATAACTACACGTACTGCCTACACCACATCACCTCCACACTATACACACTAACCACGTTACTACAACCAACACACTACACCATCATTACCACCGCCTTACCAATAGCACAACACCACCACCTGCACTATATGTTTACGAACTGCTTCTCTGCCGTCTTTTAAGCCCTGAACGTCATTGGCTGCCCCCCAACCACCACTAAATACATCCCCGTTACCGGTGTGCAATATTCCTATTATTACAACCAACATTACCTGACGGGATAATTCCATAGTCGTAAAGGCACCTGGAAGCACACGCGGGTGGCACTACAGCGAGAACTTCCACGAACATGTAACTGCAGCCACTCACGCTTATCATCACAATATTTGTTTTACCCTCTTGGCATGTAAACACAAGAGGACCCTCACGCCATGGTGGTCCGACTGAATATCTAGTGTTGTGTTTACATGTACAGAAGCTCGTCGTTCATAGGTTGTCCTTTGACTTACCATGACAAAAATTGTAGCGCTGGAGTACAGTAAGTAGCGAGTGTTTAAGGATTACGAGATATATGGCTCCTAATCTTTGCTTATTCTTGGATCTCTAGAAACCCGAGGAGACGATATATGATAATAATAATAATCATAATAATAATAATTAATAATAAAACACCTACTGTAGTGTATTTCCCCAGGTGTCGGCTTCATCTTGTTCCCGGACTCAGAAACAATAACAAAATGTTTTTATTTCCTGTACGGAGACAACTCAGCTCAAGTTTGTAGTTATTTTCCGGATTCCACTAAACCATCCCAGCTAAGTTTCTGGCTTATCCTATCTTCTCGCGGATGACAGACAGCTAAAACTTTCACTACTCTTGAATTTACCAACAGTTAAAAGCTTTCTCGTCATCTCAACGCTGCGCAGTAACCAAACAAAGCTAGAGCTCTATGTTATACCCGGGTCATACAAAACTATTGTTATTCCCAGGTCATACAAAACTAAAGCTCTTGTTATTCCCAGGTCATACAAGACTAAAACTCTTGTTATTCCCACGTTATACAAAGATCTTGTTATTCCTGAGTCAAAGCGGCCTTCAGCCCTTCTTATTTCCGGGTCATATAGAGCTAAACCCCTTTATTATACCCGGGTCACACAAAAGTAAACCTCTCGGTCCATTACAATACTGATATACATTTCTATGAGCTTCTGGTGAGAGACAACAGCCAAAGCCTGGTGTTGTGGCCGCGGTGCTCGACGTAAGAGTGTCACCCGCGACACTAATGGTAAGTCAACAGCTGAAGGCGAGTGTGCGTGTCTGGCCCTGCTGGTCGGTACTCAGGAGGACATCACGCTGACCTGCCAACATCTCTCTCACACACACACACACACACACACACACACACACACACACACACGTCATTATCTTATTACAGTACCTGTTCGACGTGTGGTAACCCTGATAAACACGGGTGTATCGTATCAACACCTATCAAAATATATGACAGGATAGAGGCCAATCAACAGTTAACTCATTAATTCACACCTGTATGAAAAAGGTGACCAATTACCCTCTCAAATGTAAACAAATGCCCAATTACATTGTCACGAATAAAAAATTAACAATTAAACCCTCAGGAGTGAACAAGTGACTAATGAAACCCTCATGTAAGAACAGGTGATTAACTAGCCCCTGAGGTGCCAGCAAGAACCCAATTTGATCGTCAGGTACAAACAGGTGACTAATTAAACCTCCAGGTATAGACAAGTGACTAATTCAACCCTTAAATATGTACAGGTGACTAATTAACCCCACACTTGTGCTTGTGCAGGTGTGCATTACGATCATCGAGGCGAGACAGCTGGCGGGGCTCAACATGGACCCCGTGGTGTGTGTGCAGGTGGGCGACCAGAAGAAGTACACCTCGGTCAAGGAATCCACCAACTGTCCCTATTACAACGAGGTGAGGAGAGAGAGAGAGAGAGAGAGGTAAGGGTCGGAAAGGGGTGGAAGGGAGGGAGGGTAGGAGGTGAGGGAGGAAGGAGGGGTGGACGGACGCATGAGGAAAGTAGGAAAGAAGGGCGGTGGCAGAGAGGTAGAGAAGGAGAAGAGGGGAGGGGGGGGTGGAAAGGATAAAGAGAGCAAGACGTTTATATTTGTGAAAAATCTGCCAACTGCCTCTACTACTATAATGAGGAAAGGGGAGAGGGAGAGAAGGGTAAAAAGGGAGAGGGAGGGAGGAAGAGAGAGAAGGGTGGATAAGAGAAGGGAGGAGAGAGACAAAAAGAATGGAAGGAGAGAAGTAGGGAGAGGAAGATGAATGTTACGAAGAAAGAGAGACAGAGAGAGAGAGAGAAATGACGCTGGAAGGATGAAGAGACAGGAAAGTAGTTGTGAAGAAAGAAGGGAAGAAGGAGGGAGAAAAACAGAAAATAATTAAAGGGGGGAGAAAATGAAGGATAGAAGAAGAAAGGAAGAAAGAAAGTAAAGAAGGATAAATAAAGAAAACCTCCTTGTTGACTTTTGCTCCACAATATCTTACCAGAAAAGAATAAGTAAGTCACCCCTCACTGCTCTCCCCCCCATCCCCAGCTCCTGCACCATGAGGTACAGGATAAAGTGACTCCTGGTGGACAATACCTGCCAGGAGTTCCTAAGTCGAGGATTGGTAAGAGATTTGTACTGGAACTTGAATTTTCACAGAAACAATTGCTTACATTTTTACTCTTTCTCGTAACACGGGATTAAAAATATAGCAGTTAGTATTGTATATATTCATTACAGCACATTACACTTTAGTACATTCATTTTTAGTGACTGTAACACCACAATACAGTATAGTATAGTACATTCAGTGATTAGGAATATGTTTAAATGACCATAGGTTTTTTTTTTGGTGATTCAGATTATTTTTATAGCATTACAGCACAACACCCGCCGACACCCCACTTAACACACACGGTCAGCAATGAACATACCTGTGTCTTATATTGTTCTAATTACATTTATTACTTTACCTTCACATCACAACAACACTGAGTAAATTAACCTCCGTGTTCATTACCTCATTACCTTATTTCTATTGGTTATTAAGCCCGTTACAGTAACATTAGAGCTGATTGTTCAGGATACAAATACAACACATGATACTTCCCTCGTACACTACTGGAGAGTGTCAGCGTCATCTGGTGAAGGCGAAGAAGTGCAATTGTCTGCTTCAAACTTAGTTAAATTATCAAGAGTCCCCGTCGACTCCTACTCTGCGTGTGTGTGTGTGTGTGTGTGTGTGTGTATGTGTGTGTGTGTCTGTGTGTGTGTGTGTGTGTGTATGTGTGTGTGTTTTCTCACTAAGTCTAATATGTATTCTCTTGACTCTCTCCCTCAGTACTTCGTGTTCGATTTCCACATGGCGCCAGCGATGCTCTTCGATAAGATCATTACTCTCACGGTAAGTTGAAGCTTGGTGTCCTGAGTTACTTTGAGTTACAAGGTTTTGGAGTGAGTTACAGGGTGTTGGAGTGAGTTACAGGGTGTTGGAGTGAGTTACAGGGTGTTGGAGTGAGTTACAAGGTGTTGGAGTGAGTTACAGGGTGTTGAAGTGAGTTACGGGGTGTTGGAGTGAGTTACAGGGTGTTGGAGTGAGTTACAGGGTGTTGGAGTGAGTTACAAGGTGTTGAAGTGAGTTACGGGGTGTTGGAGTGAATTACAGGGTGTTGGAGTGAATTACAAAATTATTGAGATGGCAAAAAATATATCAAAACAAACATGAAGAAAAATACAAGGTGTCAGGGTTAGGTTGGTACCCCTGACGTCTGCCCACCTATGACGTAAATCCCCTCAGAAGAAAATGTTGTAAGAGTCGTTCATAGATGGCGACACTGTTCCTTTGTTTTTGTTTTTGTTTTGTTTTTGTTATTTTTTCATTCAAGGAAAGTCAACACAGTCGCATATATTCAGCTGATAATTAAACGCTGATGGTAACCCTCTTAAGATAGTAGAGATGCTAAGAGTTTTGTGTCTCATTCTGTAGAGAAGTATATGACTGTGTGGTCTTAATGCCTTTACTGTTTATCCTTGAGAGTTAAGAGGTGACATCATCATAGTAGTAGTAGTAGTAGTAGTAGTAGTAGTAGTAAGTAGTAGAATAAGTACAGTATTGTTGAAAAGATTAGGAAGGAGAAAAAGAGTAGTAATTCGTCGTTGTTACTACACAAATCATAAAGTAATAGAATAAAACATTAACTTCAGCTCAGTTTCTGTTATACGATAATAATTACTTCAGCAGGACTCGGGTTGACAATAATATTAACCCCTGGTAGTAATTAGTATTATTATAATTTTTTTTTTTGCTATCACGGTGTAGGACAGAGTGGCGTTCAAGATAGGAATCATAATACTATAACTTAATGCGTTCTTACTTGACACATGACTATTAATTCCGTGTTATAGGATAGGTATTGATCAGTATCCCGGCAGGAAGGTGTCGAGAAAATATTACCAAGGTTGAACTCTTTATGTCAGGGATTATTCAGTGTTTATGATTCACAGTCACCAATGTAATCAGAGTCCAATGATTCACAGTCACCAATGTAATCAGAGTTCAATGATTCACAGTCACCAATGTTTTCAGAGTCCAATGATTCACAGTCACCAATGTAATCAGAGTTCAATGATTCACAGTCACCAATGTTTTCAGAGTCCAATGATTCACAGTCACCAATGTAATCAGAGTTCAATGATTCACAGTCACCAATGTTTTCAGAGTCCAATGATTCACAGTCACCAATGTAATCAGAGTCCAATGATTCACAGTCAGAGGTGTATGATTATTTGCTATTGTCTAAAAAAAAGTTATCTTGGGGTCTATTGGGTAGAAGGACATGTCAATATTTACTCTGAGAACGACAATTACCTGGTTAAGAAAGATACCAACTAGAATCATTAGACCGAGTGTATTGAGGTACAGTATGTTATATTGAGATGGAAAATGGATATTGTTCTTTGTTATATTTAAGAACAAGAGGGAATGTGTTTTGTTCTTTGTATTTTGTGGTTATGTTCTTCCCGTTTATTGTCTGTTCTTTTGTGTTCTTCATTATTTTTAGCGTTACTTTGTTTATTATCATTTGTGACTTTTTTTGTTGTTTTAGATTATCTCTCTCTCTCTCTCTCTCTCTCTCTCTCTCTCTCTCCTTTTCACTCCTTCCCTCCTTGCACCCCCTCCTCCTCGCTTCCCTCCCTCCCCTTCCCTCCTCCTACCCCTCCCTCCCTCCATCCCACCCTCCCCCCCAACTTGTCTCCCTGCCTGATCGTAACGCATGTACCGACAAATCTCCCAGGCTTTGCTACAATGCTGGGCTCAGTAACAAAATACCCTGTGGGGCGTCTTGCATACTCCTTGAGCCCAAGAGACGCCGCTTGGCCAGTCGAGTGTTTATGTCAGGTGGATAGAATTCAGTTTTATCATCATTATTTTTTATTATTTATATTATTTTTTTACTAAATTATGGGCCAATATGGTTATGGGGAGATGTCTATATTGTGGTCAATTTGGAAGAGAATGAAGGACAGAAATAGATTTCATTTCAACGTTCCAATCAGTCCCAGATCCGACGGGTCCATTATTGGAACCTGATTCATGACTGTAAATCTGTGTGTGTGTGTGTGTGTGTGTGTGCGTCTGTGTGTGTGTGTGTGTGTGTGTGTGTGCGTCTGTGTGTGTGTGTGTGTGATCTGTTTATGGTGTGGAATACATGGGAATAATACAAACAGACACGCATATGTATAAACAAGTATAATTATATACTTAAAAGTTGTGTAAACCAATACAAATTCATTCTCGCATATGTAAACACACACACACACACACACACACACCAGCCTCCACCAGTGTATTCAGTTGTCAATAACAGGAGCCGTCGTACACAAGGGGGGTGGGGTGGATATACGTAATGTGAAATGGAAAGTTGGAAAAGCATAAAATCGCAGATGGCCGACGGTGGCTGTGTGTGTGTGTGTGTGTGTGTGTGAGTGTGTGTGTGAGTGTGTGTGTGTGTACAGATTGATATACCACACTGATATACCCTGAACACAAGACCAATAATATGTGACTTAACGATACATGTTTACAGTCTTAAAGTCTTAACTACAGGTCGTGAATTCCGCCTCTAAGTGATTATTAACATTTACCTTTAATACCCCTAAGGACCCGTGACGTGTTGATAGAAGTTAATAGTGTGTATATTAATAAACTTTACTTTATATACATACAGGATAATACAGTAAACTTAAGTAGTGTTATGTACTGTAAATTTGTAATCTCTGTAACTGTACCTCTCCCATCGATGTTAAATTACCTAGTTGATCTAAAATGAAGTGAAAATGTGAACTAATCTCAGTATGAATATTAATAGCCAATAGTAATAGAATATTTTATGGTTTAAGCTAGTTCATGTTACAGAAAACGAGATTAGAATATTATTAATAGTTGTAAAATTTGATGTGATTTTTTTTTTTAGTTTTTTTTTTTACATCGGATTTTTACTGTTTTAAATTACTGAGGCCGAGAAAAACTATTGTTGCATTGGGGGAAAAAAACGGTATATTTATTATACACTGGGAAATATAATACCAAAACATATTAAATTAGACTAATCTTAGCTAATTTAAGACTAATTATCACTAACCTTAACTAACTTATGATTCTGTTAGATTAATTATATCAAATTCTAACTAATACTAATCTTGTCTAACCTAATCTATGCCTCCACGTCCATGCAGCCTCTACAGTCTACGAAATCTAATTTATCAAGAACAAAAAGAGATAAACATTAGGACAGACACACATTAAACTAACCTAATTTGTCCTAACCTAACCACATCAACCATTATAATACCCTGGGATGAATCTTCTCTCTCTCTCTCTCTCTCTCTCTCTCTCTCTCTCGTTCACTCAAGCCCCGGCCAGTTTTTCCTACCTTGGTCACGTGTGTTTTTCGATTTTTTTCCTGGTATAGAGACAAGGATATACTTATACTACGTGGAACTGAAGTGTGTGTGTGTGTGTGTGTGTGTGTGTGTGTGTGTGTGTGTGTGCTAGATAACTCAGGCGGCTGCCGGTAAACTTGAACTGGTCGAGAGAACTTTTAATAGCGCTATCATAGAAGTCAATTTTCTTCGTGAATTCCTATGTGAAAAGTTTTATACGTTTGGGAATTTAAATCATGCCGAGGATAGAATGTTTCACTGCACACACACACACACACACACACACACACACACACACACACACACACACACACACACACACACACACACACACACACACACACACACATGGGAAGGTGGCATAGTGGTCTGAAGCCTCGAACTAGTGATCCCAATAACAATGGTTCGAGTCTAGGGAGAGGAATTCTATAATATATATAATACTATTTGTATACTGTATATATATATGTCCTCTCTATATATAATAATCTATATGTGGTTAGCTATAGATATGTTAGCGTGTAAAGGAGAGAAGAAAACAGATCTTTGTGTCTCTCTATGGGTCACTGTCTCTATGGGTCACTGTCTCTGTGTTTCACTCTCTCTGTGGGTCACTGTCTCCGTGGGTCACTGTCTCTGTGTTTCACTCTCTCTGTGGGTCACTGCCTCTCGCCCGCCTGATCCGGGAAATTCGTGGAGACACAACCTGCCAAGATTTAGCGTCAGTATCCGGTGAAGAGGAGCCAGGAAGGGGAAGAGAGGGAGGGAGAGGGAAAAGACGGAGGGAGAAGAAAGAGAGGGAGGGAGAGGAAAGAGAGGGAGGGAGAGGAAAGAGAGGGAGGGAGAGGAATGGACGGGAGAGGAAATGAAGGAGCAAGGAGAGAGAGGAGAGGAAAGAAAGGAAAGCAAGGGTGAAGAAGGGAGAAGGGAAGGAGTCAGGGAGGGAGAAGGTAAAGGGAGAAAAGGAGGGAGTGAATGAGGGAGGGAGCATAGAAAGAAGAGAGAGAGAGGGAGGGGGGGGGAATAGCTTGGTTAACTTATTTCGACACACCACATCACACCATACCACACCATATTACACCACACCACACCACACCACAACACACCACACCACAACACACCTCCCCCAGCTGGCCCTCGCTTCCATTACCAAACACACACACACACACACACTGAGGAAGAATTTAGAATTGTACTCCCTATCTAGTACCTAAATCCTTTGTGTGTGTGTGTGTGTGTGTGTGTGTGTGTGTGTGTGTGTGTGTCTTTCTCTTTATACCCCGCCACGACTTACAAGGCCTAGGAGAGGGGGTTCAATTCAGTATAGTGTCACTCCCACCCGTCTGTCTGTCCGTGTACACAAAAGGTGGATATTTCTCGGGCATTTCTTGGCCGATGGTACTGTGGGACTTGACTCTCTGTGAATTATTTGGGGAAAGGGTGGCTACTGGGGTTAACTTTTAGCATTTAGTTTACTTTCTGAATGATAAACTTTTTTGTGTGTGTGAGTGATGTGTACAGCTGCACCGAGGGAGAGTGGCAGGATGTTAGAGCTCTCTCTCTCTCTCTCTCTCTCTCTCTCTTTTTCTTTCTCTCTCTCTAGCGTTCGTAGAGGACCATTGAAGGTCTTCTTTATAGGACCATTGTGTCGAATGATGAAGATATATGTGTGTGTGAGATTAGTGGCAGTCCAGGGCACGGCGCTACTGGTGGTGGTGGTGGTGGTGGTGGTAGTGGTGGTGGTTATTGTTGTTGATGTAGTGGTGGTGGT